TAGGAACACAGAAATGAATAGGCTGGTTGGTTGCGGCAGTCCATGTTTATGTTTTTTTCCACTTTAGACAAATTTGCTGGGTTAATTTTTGTTGGGAGTATAATCTTTTCTCTTCCCCCCCCCCCCCACCTCCATGTCGAAAAAGTATCTGTAAGAAATGGCAGCGGTTATGTGAATCCCTGGTGTACACCAAATGTTTATTTCGCGTTCCGAGTGTTCCTGCATGCTCTTGTTTCAGCTCCTGCACTGTGACATTTTCAATTTTATTTTGATAAAACGGTAGTGTATCAGCACATAATTTGTGATTTGCTGTAATAATGAACGTAAAGAGGTGGGGGAGGTAATTTTCTTTGGTACGGAGCCACAGAACCAATGGAAAGGTAGTTTGATTTGCAAAAGACACCTGGTTTGGAAATGGGGACCTGTGGAAATAGCCAAGGGAGCAAAAGTCTTACAAAGAGAGTTTGCTAGTGTGTGAACATGGGCTTCTAAGTGGCAAATACAGTTCAGTACAGAGAAAATGCAAGGTACTCCATATGTGGAGCAAAAATGGACTCTGTGGATGGGATAGAATTTGCGAAGCAGGAAGCTGAACGAGAACTCGAAGTGTTAGTTGGCTCGCCATGTCAAAACAATGTGAGGTAGCAATAAACAAGGAAACTGGGATGATGGGTGATAATATCACAGCAGTTTAGCTCAGATCCTTAGACAGGCTGGAGCTCTTCAGGGTGAAGGGTTTTGCACCTCATTATCTTCAAGCGAGCCCTGATAGAGGGAGAGCATGTGATGTTTTAATCAGTGTTGGAAAAAGTAAACCCAGCCCAATACATTTGGGTGTGCTGAGACACAAGAATAAGAAGGCACAGGTTAGGATTGCAAAGAGCAATTTAGGGGCAGACACCAGGAAATATTTCTTCACCCAGAGAGTAATTTCCAACTGAAACCTGGTTGCCTTGAGGAGTGGTTCAAGGACTCTGAGAGTTGTTTAAAATAACAACTTGATGCTGTAATTGGTAGAGTGGGTTTTCTGGAAGGTTGAGATCAAATGGGCTAAAGGGCCTTCTCTATCTCTTGCGATCTTTTGTAGAGTAATATACTGCAGCAGACACTGGTGCGCCAGACCTCTATTGTAGCTTGTTATTGGCAATTCTACTGTTATGAAATGCTTAGTTTTCTGAATATAACTGCATATATCTTTAAACATTTGGTAGTGAAGCGTTGGAAAAGTCTGATGAGAAGGTGGGCAATATAGTTTCAAAGGGTAATCCGCTTTGCAGATGGTAAATAACTGAAATGGTTGTCTTTGAAATGACTCGAGAGTTTAGCGGACTTGCGCAAGGGATGAAACGTTCCGGTGCGAGTTGGATCCTCGGCAAACGCGCTGCTTAAAAATAAAACTCCACAATGGAAATGCGAGGTGGCTGCATGGGTGTGACCCAAAGTGGCCGTCGCATTGCACTGGAAGGCGAGAGGGTTGCATTTTTGCGGAAAGCATTTATCACATTGCAAAAGGCAGTGAGTGGAGTGGCGTTTCAACGTTGGGGGCTGTTCACCGGGGGTTATCTTAACTTGGGCGAGATTCCGTCCGATGCTAATTCAATTGAAACTCAGAATTCTGACCACGAAAAGTCAGAAGTAAAACTGTTATGGACTGACGGTTGTCTGATGGACGCAACTGTGTTTTTTAAAAATAAAAAGCCCCTTTGACCTCATTAGCTTCAGCGACAATGAATAACTCATGATGTCTTCACCATAGCAACAGACCTTGCTGACACTAAACCAGCTTGTGCTTGAAGGGGAAGTGTGCTCTTCTGAATGGCCGTGTAATCCTATTCGTCGTAAAGAGAAAAACTCTGTGCACTTAATGATGTGCCTTGCCTCCCTCCGCTCGTGCCTTAAACGCGCATCGCAAATTCCTCCTGCCCCCCCCCGACTGTCTCAACTGGGGTCCTGCAGAAAAATCTTCCATCATATGTTGACGCAGAGAATTGCCGTTTACCACGGTATTCACTCCATGTCAAATGCTTCGCCGCAAGGTGCATCTTAAAGAGCTTTAAGGCGTAAAATATAGAAAGGAATGATGGCTCAGATACTGATAGTAACTGTGCACGTACCTACCTGTACATCGTTTGAAGACCCCACACGGTCTTATATTATGTTTTGTGATTTTTGTTAGTACAAGACCGATCCAAGCAGTTGAAGTTCATATTCCAAGAGAATATTGCCAACTTTTAACATAAAGTTGCTGTGAAGCAGGAAAAATCAAACTTGTGACAGCATTTTATGAGCACCACTTCTAACTGTTACCATGCCGAATACACACCAAATAGTGAGCGCTTTATTTGCTTCAAGGGATAAGTTAACGGTTTCAGCAAATGCTGGAGTTTGTATTGATTATCAACCTTGTTTCGCCCACAAAATATGTAGTCGATTCACTTGACAGTATATTCTGTGACGTGCTTTGAGACATATCGTAGATGGGATATGGCGCTATATTAAATGCAAATATTATTATTGTAGAGAAGTTGCGAACATTTGAAAATTCCAACTAAATTCTTGCTACCTTGGATACTATACACAACAGTAATGTAGTGTTTCTGCTTCAATGTTTGCTGTTTTCGTGTGATATAATTGTAAACCCATTCAATAAACTTTGAAGAGACGTGATCAAAATCATTGTTCTTGAATGTCGACCAATACATTATATTAGTTTGTAATGTACAAAGCCCTGAAAGAGAAAGAACATGGTCATTTTAATCTAGAACATTAATAATAGTAACTGCACAGCATGAGACCCGTCTATTTAAAACTGCCCTACCTACCGTTAAAGGGTTATGGACATATCTGCAACTTTCAAGACTTAGTGATGTGTTACGCAGGCTGGTAATCAGTCAACAATCAAATTACTGTGGATTGCTTGGCAAAGCATTCGGCTGCTATTCCCCTAACCTCTGGAACTCCCTCTCTCTACGCTTCTGTCTTGACCCCAAGAAGGGTTCGTTTTTAAATGCTGCTTTGAAAACTTGCTTGCGTTCGCCCACTAAGCAATCACTGCTATTTACAGTAGATTCTGAAGCTCTTTGGGACGTCACCACCTCTCCTATCTCACTTGCCGTCCAACCCCATTCTTGTGCAGTGCTCCGAGATGTATCCTACGTGAAGGGCGCTATATAAAAAGCAAGTTGGTGTTTGCTCAATCAGTTCAGCCAAAGGGGAAAAGACCCTCTTCTCTGCCCCAGTCTTTTTTTTAGAAAGACTTAACATAATTTTTTATCGAACTTAATGGCTGAGTTAGGCAAAAGTGAATTTGACCCGAGAATATTTCCACCCCAATAAATAAGCTACTTCAGGATTTTGAACATTAAAATGATAAAAAATCATTAAAAAACAATTTTAATTCAAAGTTTGATTTTTAGGGGAAAACATATGAAATGTAGGTCCACTGTGTACAATAGTTGGCCATAGTGAATCTCTTTTCTCTTACAGTATGTGTCAAGCTAACAATGAGCATTATTTTATTGATATGATACTGCAGTCAAAAAGGTGCTTTGTTCCCAAATTCAAGGCCTGTTCTTTTTCAATGACATTTTCTTAAACACATTCTTGTTTTCTGACTGTTTCGTCGCTTCTGTTTAGAATTTGTACTTTGTTGTAGTTTGCCTTGGGGGTAAAAAGGAAACGGAATACTTTTGAGAAATAAGGTCAATTGGAAAGCTGTAAGGAAGTTTCTCTTAATATTTAGGTCAAGTTAAAATGTTGGTGGTTGAATTTTTTTTCTCTGCTCTTGCCGAGTTTCTTCTAAAGCTAATCTGACTTTTCCGTAGTTTTGCAAGAATCTCTATTAATAGTGAGTGGTCAAATGTTGAAGTGTAAAATCAGAAATTAGTCATTTGTATTTATGCCTGTCTCACAGTAAAAAAAGTTTGCTTATTGTATAAAGATTTTGCCCACAAATATACAATCAATTCACTTTACAGTATATTCTGTAAAGCGCTTTGAGACATCTAGAAGACATGATAAGGCGCTATATCAAATGCGATGATTATTATTATTATAAAGATTGTTAGAGAATTTAAATTTTTCATGATTTAAAATTGAGATATGTGCCAAAAGCCTGAAACCTGTTTTGTTTATTTTTTTTTGCCCGTTTATCCCGCCA